CTCGGTGGAGCCACCGCTGCACTCATAAAATCGCATCAAATCCTCCACTTCTCCTCACGTATATGGATCTGGTTGAGCTCCTTTTTTTGTTTTTTACAAAAAAAAAATGTATTTTGAAATGGTAAATTGATGATAAATATATAATTAAAAAATAAGAAAAAAAATTTAAATTTGTATATAATATTATTTTATTAGAAAATGTGTGATTGAAAAGAAGAAGAAAAATGTAATTTGAAAATAATGTGCATCAAATAAGGGTTATATATCAACCGTTTAGATTTGCTAAAAAAAAAGAGGAAGGAACTCGAAAAAGCAAATTAAACCGCATTTTTAAAATCGTCAATTTGGTATCATGTGGACAAGTTAATGAAATGGTTAACCAGAGCAAACCATTTGATTTAGTTTTTGATATTTTATTTGCGCTTTGAGACAAAATCAAACCGTTTAAAAATTGATAAATATAGTCACGCCACATTGTCCACCTCCTTGACAGAAAGGTTGAGATAATGTCACGTGACATTCTATCATTTTCCTCTAATAAAAAATCCTCCGACAAAATAGAATAGTTCTAGTAAATAATGAATGAATGAAAATTGAAGTTTTAAATTTCTAGCAAAAACTGTTAAATCCACAAATGGTCATCCAATTTATACTTGGTGTCAACATAACCAATCAATTTGATTTTGTTTCACCAGACCACCCAACTTTATAACTAATGTCGTCATGACTACTCGATTTGATTTTATTTCACTATGACCATCCAATTTCATATAACGTTTTACTATGACCATCCAATTTTGAGCATGTTTGGTACAGATTTTCATTTTCTACAGTAAATCAATTCTCATTTTCAACCACACATTCTTCNTTTGTTTTTTATTCTCAAATTCTACAGTAAATCAATTCTCATTTTCAACCACACATTCTTCAATAAAATAATATTTTTCATCACATCAATAATTTTTTCTTCTTTTTCAACCACACATTTCCCATCATATCACTATTCGAAAATCAATTTTTTCCCCAAAAATCCCTATCAAACACACTATTTATATAACATTTCACTATGGCAGCCGAACTTCTTTTCATCATGTTTCATTTATTTTAAAAGTGATAAAACAAAGACTTTGCATAATATATATTAAATATTTAAAAATAAAATAAAATAAAAAATTATTTTTACTTAAAAAAAAAATAAAAACTAATTTTTTTTAAAAAATGTTACTTAAAAAAATTATTTTTAAAATGATTTTAAAATAAAAAAAAACTTATTTTTAAAAAAATTACTTAGAAAAAAAATAAAAAAATAAAATTTACTTAAAAATATTATATAAAATTAGGTGATCATGGTGAAATAAAATAAAGTTGGCTAGTCACGATGACACTAAGTGTAAAGTTTTGTGGTCATCGATGGGTTTAACGCCTGATTCAATCAGACTCCTAAATTACTTTCTTAACATCTAAATAAAGTTATAACTATTAAGTTTTTACACGTGTGGTCAATTCATAATTTAATATTTTTATTTATTTATGAATTTTCTTAAATTTGAATAGAATTTCAAAAAGTATCTATAAGATTTTAACGTAATTCTATCCTTATTTGGTGGGGATTAATTTTTTTAAAATCTAATCAAATTTAATAATTAGTTTCAACAACATATTTTATAGATCCACAACTTTATAATCACACATTTTATCAACTTTTATTAAAATTTATTAAAAATCTGATTTTAATTCCCCTAAAACAAAGGTATAAGTATAAATTTAAATGGATTTTGTAAGAGTTTAATAGAATTTTATGTTACATTATAGAAAATTTGTAACTTCGTTATTTCTAATTTCAGCAATCTAAAAATTATAACTAATAAATACCATTTCAATTTGAAAAGTTAAAATAAAGAAAAAAAAATTATACTTCAAAAAGTCGAGCAAAGAAATACAATGAATTAAAAATCAGTTCAATCCAAAAAGAAATAATTTTCATTATAATGGTGATTATTATGCATAATATATGCACTGAATATTGTGTGATGAGAGTTGAAAATTAAATATTTTATTAATATTTTTTATGTATATTAATTTCTTTTATTTTTGTTAACGGTATATATAGTTTTGACTTTATATCTATTGACTTGAAATTCATTAAAATCTGAGAGGGCAAAAGTTGTTCAATATATAGATTAATAGGTTCGAAATCCATTAAAATTCGTTCGAATTCTTTCAATTTGTGAAATCATTAGAAATTCACCAATTATTATGAACAGCTAAACTTTATTGAATCTATTAAAATATAAGTTGATGACGCCTTTGTTTTAATGGACTTTTGAAATTTACTATTTGAATCAAGGACACACCATACAAGCGTATTTCTTACATTTATTTTGACATTTAATCTTTTACATTGTGCGGTTATTTAGTGGCCGCAGAGACGTAGTTTATTGAGTATGGTAGTGATTGCAATTGTAGTTAGTTGGGTTCAAATATGGAGGAGGTGACTGTGATAATGATGATATGTGGAGGTTCGATTGGAATAAGGTTTTATATGTGGTGGTTTATGATGGCGGTGATATGTAGTAGGGTATGTTCAATTGATGGGAAGACATATATGGTGACAACGCTGGTGTAACAATGAATATTACAAGTGATGGTGGTGATATGGATAATGATATAATAATGAATATTACAAGTGCTAGTGATGACGACGTTAGAAATGACCACGTTAGAAGTAACGACAATGGCTGTGCAATAACACATGTTAAAAGTGGTGGTAGCGATCTCGATGATGATGGAATTAGACATAAAATACAATATATTGTATCATAACTTTCAAGTGGTGACGACGAAGGTGGAAACAAGTGGTGAAATGTATATAACATAATAGTATACTCTGTGTTGCAAAAAGTATTATAAAATAAAACAAAAAAATTTTGAGAGTTAAAAGATTTAAAAGTAAGTTTGCAATTAAAAAATGCTTTTTTTTTTAGTAATGAATTGTTGCCATATTTTGTGGGTATATTGGACCTTCATTGCCCCTTCTCCTTTGGATCTTGTTTCTTGCTTGGGCTTGTTCTCCAATGGGTCCCTCTTCTTACTTGTAGGGTAGTTTTTAGTCATTTCAGTTTGTTTAGCCTAATCTATTTGGGCCTCTTTTTGTTGCTGATAATGGTCCAAGTTTTGGTCTCGTTTTTTATGGGCTTTCTAGTCGTCGGTGCATTTGGGATCCTCTTTCAACTTTTTAGATGAATAATGTTAAATGTACATTCTTTATTAACACTAAAGATGACGCCCTCTTATGTGGATGAAATTTGATCATTGAGTTAATGGAGTATGTTTCAAATTAAAGGTCACGATTGTTATCATCTCATTGGATGTCAAAGAAAATATACATGTATGTGCTTATTATTTTAATAGCATAATTGTGTAGTAGGCAAAACTATTTGGATCAGATTTCGTCGGTCTTCTCTTCCATGTATTAGAGTGTAGCTAAGCATGTTTTGTAAGAAAAATTCAATACGATCGAGTTATTTAGTGCTTGCATTATCATGTTTTTGAGTTATTATTATTATTATTTTTTTACTCTCCAATAGCGTATTTTCTTAAGACTTTAATGAACATTTTCGAATATGAATGTTTAGTCTTATGCTTCATAATAATACAATTTGTTTTTAATCTTAAAAAGTTTCTTAATTCTAAAAACAATCATGCTACGTGTAAATTTTCTTTGACATCAAGTCTGACATTCAAAGAGATGGCAGCAATCATGATCTTTAATTTGAAACACTCCATCAACTCACTTAGCATAATTCATCCACATAAGACTTAAGAGGGTGCCCTCCTTAATTTAATAAAGAACGTACATCTAGCACTATTTTAGAAGTAGTGAAATCTTAAAATTAGTGTAATAATAGATTTTCGGTAAAAAAAATTATATAGTAATGTTATTCACGTGATACTGTGATTTCCACTTGATCACATATTCGTGCTAAAAGAAAGATACAAACTCATTGTATTGGAAACAGGGACAGATATGGGGGGCCCAGTCCAGCCCCCAGCCCATTGATTTTTTCTAGTAGAATTTTTTTTTAATGTATTAGCTCGACCTGTAATCCGGTTCTGGATTCGTCCCTGATTGGAAAAGTAGTTGGAATTATAATTTGAACCCAATAGAATTCACAACGTTTTTAAAAGATGATTTTATTTCCTCTAGTACTCGAGATCACAATCAATTATTTCTTTGAGTATAAGCATTGAATAGAACTTCTTCTAATTAATATTACCTATTTTTGGAAAAATAGGTGTTTTAGGGACTAAATAGCTACTGCTTCATGTCAACTTCCTTTACCTTTGGCCTTGATCGTTATTCTCAAACTCAATGAATTAACAAACAACATTCATACATATGGAGAACATAAAAAATATAGGCTCACCAGATAAAGAAAATATCGGTAGCCAAAACAGTCAACAAGCTCCATTGATGCAGTGACTTCATTTGTAGTTTCCCCTCTCCTACCCACCCAAATAACCGTCGTTTTAGGAGCTAAGATAGTTTTGACGCGGAATATGTGAAATTGAATCAAATTTATGAAGCCTAACATCCACGACAATATGAATAAAACAATAGNTAACATCCACGACAATATGAATAAAACAATAGATCAACAAATTATACACTAGAAGGGCGATCGAATTTTCGTGAAATAAACAAATCCAATTATAAATATTTTGTTGTTTTTCAATTGTTTAGATTGCATAATAAGCTAATAATCTCCAATCGATGGAGGAAAGGAAAAAGATGAAGAGTGGGTCTAGTAAAAGTTTTGCAGCTGGGCAATCGATGGAGGAAAGAAAAAAGATGAAGAATGGGTCTAGTAAAAGTTTTGGAGCTGGGGGTGTGATTTTGAACAAAGAAGATAGTTGAATGGTCCTCTTAGATACACAAGGAAGGGTAATAATAAAACTCATCCACTCGCACATAATCCAATCCAATCCAATCCTTGACGATGCAAGAAGCACTTGCAGTCATGGCCGCACAAACAGTTCTGTATTCAACACCCCACCACTCTCTTCTCCCTCTTTCATTCAGTCCCACCATTTCCACCACCTCTTCGGCATCACTCCCACTTACTTCCTCCTTCCACGGCCTCTCTCTCAAAGCCACCACCCGCCTATACTTGTCCTCCTCGGCCTCCGCCGCACCGAAGCCTCTGGCCGTCGTTTCCTCCGCTACCAAGAAGGCAGTTGCCGTCCTCAAGGGCACCTCCAGCGTCGAAGGCGTTGTCACTCTCACCCAAGAAGCTGAAGGTCAACTCCATCTCTCTTTCCCATTTACTAATTACACACACTCAGACAAGCAGGTACTCAAATTCAATTTTTTGGGCTTTAGATTCTGACATTGTGTTTTCGAAATTTTTAGGTCCAACTACTGTAAATGTTCGTGTGACTGGACTTACACCGGGTAAACATGGATTTCATCTAGTGAGTATTATTGGTGTTATTAAATTTTAACAATTCTTAGACTTATGCGTATTTCTTTCCTACAAATTTGGTCTCCTGCGCGTGG